CAGTGCATTTTTCTATGATTAATTGGCTGCACTTTCTTTAATTTCAGACAAATGCATAAGAAAAGCAAAAATCTTGAGAATCATTGTTAGAGATGTAATATAATTAAAGTTAATCTCGTCTGCGTGTCTTTCTTTTAATAAGACAAGTTTTTGGGATCAATGGTTGATCATCATATAATTATTTGAGACCACATATTTATTTAACAGTGGAAAACATTTATTAATTGTCAAAATTTGTCCACAAAATGAACGGATGAGAATAATTTAGAATGTTATCTTAATTTGTCACTTGATGTATTCTTTTAGTAAAAATATAATATTTAGGTTTAATTTCTTTTTTTTATTCTATTGTTTAGTGTATGGACGATTCGTATCTCATTGTTTTAATTGCATAAACTTAGCCATTTAAAAAAAAAATGGACAATTTGATTTAATAGTTTTATTATTCGATTTTTATCTACAATTTTGAAAATTTTATTATTTTAGTCCTATTATGTTTGACCTATTATTGAATTTTTTTAATATATGTAACGAGATAACACTAGTGCAAAAAAGACCTTTAACGTCACCCTTTAGACGTCTGATCCTCGAATATTCAACCTAAAAAAAAATCGGTGGCATTTTTCCTAAATAAAACAACTATTTAGACGTCGGTTATGGAAGGGTCCGACGTCTAAATACTCATATACGTCGGTTCCTCCGAATAGACGTCAAAACTAAAAGAAAAAGTTAAAAAAAATAATTTTTTATTTTATTTAGACGTCTGTTAATTTGGGGAACCGACGTCTAAACCTTAAACCTAGAAATTTAGAGTCACTTTTTGACTCCATTCAGACGTCTGATCCCGCCACTCCAACTTCTGAAGCACTTTAGACGTCTGTTAATTTGGGGAACCGACGTCTAAACCCTAAGAAATTTAAAAAGTCACTTTTTGACTCCGTTTAGACTTCTGATCTCGCCACTCCGACTTCTAAAGCACTTTAGACGTCTGTTAATTGGGGGAACCGACGTCTAAATTTTGACATTAAAACACCGTGAACGCGAGACAGCCGTCACGTGCACTCATTGTTCATCATCTTCGTCGCATTTTCTCTCTACGGGTTACGCTTTTCAGGTTCGTTTTCTCACTTTTGCACCATTTTAAATTAATTTTACTCCAATTACATCACTCTTTGATGCATTATCTTTCATTTGAATCGATAAAAATGCGTTTTCGTTGGGTTTTGCTGCAGTTATTCTCGTGTCTTTAGGCGACACAACTTTTCCTTCTTCCACTCCTAACCCTAAAATATAACAATGCTACTTCACCAAGCATGTGCTTCACTCATTAATAATAATCTCACTAATATACTTCAGTTTCAGAAACGAAGAAGGAGGAGTTGGAGCTGACGGCTGACTCCTACACGGTTAAGGTTTAGCAGAGTTAGATTCTTGAGCTCCGCACAGCTCGTCGGAACCTTGCCGGAGAGAACGTTGTTGGACAGATCCATCGACATGAGACTCTTCAGGTTCCCCAGCCGGAGAGCGCATTCACCTGAAGAAAGAGCGTGTCCATATTCTGAAGCCTTCCGAGGTCAGCCGGAATATCGCCGGAGAGTCCGCAATACGCAGCGTCGAAACGGACAAGTTTCCAATCTCCGACGGGATGCCGCCGAGGTGGAGATGACGGAGGATGTTTCCAAGCGCGGTGAGGTTTCCAAGCTCCGGGGATGTTTCCCATGAGCTCGTTAGGTGCTGCCAGGTGCCATACTCGGGAGGGATCTGGCCGGAGAAAAAGTTGCCGCCAGGTGGAGATGACGGAGGATGGGCATGGCAGCAATGGCGAGGGGAAGGGGACCGATTGGGCCGGAGAGTGCGGAGAAGGAGGCGGGGATTGGGCCGGAGAACTGATTGTTGGCATGGGAGAAGTAGGAGATGAAATGGAGGTACAGGAGAGGGGGAGAAACGACCTCGGTTCATAAGGAACAGAGGCATAAAATTTAAAAAAATAAAAAATGTTACTGCTTCAGTTAATTTTGAACCGAAGCATAATCCTACCATTTTATGCTTCGGTTCTGAACCGAGACATAAAATCAATCACTTTTTACCTCGTCTGAATATGTCTCGGTTAAAATACCGATGCCTATCAGCGAAAATAAATGTTGTCGTTTCTCTTCATTGCACTAGTGAATATGAGAGGAGAGATTTTGTATTTTCTCTCTTAATTTGCCATATTCCGAAAACCTTCATTTAAAAATTGTTTTCACATAAAATCTGGGTCTAGGATGATAAGTTCATAGGATAATCCTTTTATATATAGACACACGTATAGATTATTTGCGAAATTAAAAAAGATATCGTGTGAGATATGTGACGTATTCAAGAATCTAGTTCTGTCTTAGACTAAGCTCAAACCCCAATTGATTAATTTGATAGAAAGCAAAAAGAAATAGAAAGCATTTGTATGTATATGTGGATTAAAGAAAGAAAAAGAATTCAAATATGTGGACTATGTATTGGGTTATACATATTCACCAAAAAAGTGTCGCATAATCTATGCTTAAAGGGTTTTGTTTATGCAAACCCATGCTTTCATTTAAATATTTCCCATCCAAATCAAACAATATTTGCAGAATTTCAGTGCATTTTTCTATGATTAATTGGCTGCACTTTCTTTAATTTCAGACAAATGCATAAGAAAAGCAAAAATCTTGAGAATCATTGTTAGAGATGTAATATAATTAAAGTTAATCTCGTCTGCGTGTCTTTCTTTTAATAAGACAAGTTTTTGGGATCAATGGTTGATCATCATATAATTATTTGAGACCACATATTTATTTAACAGTGGAAAACATTTATTAATTGTCAAAATTTGTCCACAAAATGAACGGATGAGAATAATTTAGAATGTTATCTTAATTTGTCACTTGATGTATTCTTTTAGTAAAAATATAATATTTAGGTTTAATTTCTTTTTTTTATTCTATTGTTTAGTGTATGGACGATTCGTATCTCATTGTTTTAATTGCATAAACTTAGCCATTTAAAAAAAAAATGGACAATTTGATTTAATAGTTTTATTATTCGATTTTTATCTACAATTTTGAAAATTTTATTATTTTAGTCCTATTATGTTTGACCTATTATTGAATTTTTTTAATATATGTAACGAGATAACACTAGTGCAAAAAAGACCTTTAACGTCACCCTTTAGACGTCTGATCCTCGAATATTCAACCTAAAAAAAAATCGGTGGCATTTTTCCTAAATAAAACAACTATTTAGACGTCGGTTATGGAAGGGTCCGACGTCTAAATACTCATATACGTCGGTTCCTCCGAATAGACGTCAAAACTAAAAGAAAAAGTTAAAAAAAATAATTTTTTATTTTATTTAGACGTCTGTTAATTTGGGGAACCGACGTCTAAACCTTAAACCTAGAAATTTAGAGTCACTTTTTGACTCCATTCAGACGTCTGATCCCGCCACTCCAACTTCTGAAGCACTTTAGACGTCTGTTAATTTGGGGAACCGACGTCTAAACCCTAAGAAATTTAAAAAGTCACTTTTTGACTCCGTTTAGACTTCTGATCTCGCCACTCCGACTTCTAAAGCACTTTAGACGTCTGTTAATTGGGGGAACCGACGTCTAAATTTTGACATTAAAACACCGTGAACGCGAGACAGCCGTCACGTGCACTCATTGTTCATCATCTTCGTCGCATTTTCTCTCTACGGGTTACGCTTTTCAGGTTCGTTTTCTCACTTTTGCACCATTTTAAATTAATTTTACTCCAATTACATCACTCTTTGATGCATTATCTTTCATTTGAATCGATAAAAATGCGTTTTCGTTGGGTTTTGCTGCAGTTATTCTCGTGTCTTTAGGCGACATTCTATGGCGGCGATTTCTTGCGTTTTGTACTCCTCCAATTCCCTCCACTACGTTTTTAAAACCTTTCCAATAAAAAAATGTACAATACATTCTCTTCAACTAAAATATAAAGTTGTAAACTCGAATCACCGTGAGTCAGGAGCAACCTCAGAGACATCAAACCTGTATGGATCGGACGTCTCCGACGTCTCATTAACGTCACCCATATAGACATCGGACAGAGATTAGACGTTAAAAGCCCAAAATAACAGACGTCTAAAGTCCTTTTTGCACTAGTGTAAATCTACGAAACATCTATGCCACATTGATTATTTATTTTTTACAAGTTAATATATATTGTTTATATAAAATATAAAATATAAAATATAAAAAAAAGAAGTAAAAAACCTTTAAAAGACACACCATACACCTAAAACAAATTAGATAAGTAGATTGCCGCTTCATTAAAATGGTTAAAACCTAATGATAAGTTAAGAGTAAAAATAAAATTATGCATTTTTTAAATATATAAACCAAACTTGAGCAATTAAATTACGAAGATAAAAATTTAGCATTTTGAAATATATGAACCAAAATGAACCGAAATTGTTCCCATACTAAATAACAATGCACTCAAGTCTAATTTTTATTTGTCTTACAAAATGGAATTTCAACACATGCATGTTGTAGACAATTGCTGATTTAGGTTACTTGTAATCTACACAAGTATTTTTAATCTACAATATCTTGTAAGATAACTTTTTAAATCAAATTAAAAACACAAGAGAAGAAAGATGGAATAAACTAAATTATTGATTAAAGGTTGTTTATCTTGTAAAAATATTATAATCTACTTTTCCCCATTAAAAAGATTCTGAATCCACTGCCACAGTATACCTCTGCATTGTTCAAATTTCAAACAAAATGACTCCACGTGTGAGAAGATTTATTAAAAAATCTCACGTGTATTATTTAATAAGCTTTTGGGATAAATGCAAAGGGAAAGTTCCCTTTATCAGTTTCTTATTTCATTTTGGCTCTTCCTTATTTTCCTAGAAGCTGTAAAGTTGTCATTAGTGATTGTTATCCAAAAAGCAAAGTTCATTTCAGTTTTTATAAGAAAAAAATGAGACACTTTATTGACAGATTACAAAGTAAGTTGCCTTCAGAATATAATATTTCTATCACACAGCTTCTGCAACAACAATTACTCTGGGAAACTCCAAAAGTTGTAGATTTTTTCTTGGAGCCATATGAAACTATGACTTAGATTAGATTAACTAAGGAGTAGTTTTCTAAACCATTAACAGAAGGGAGCAACTAAATTGTATAGACCAACTTTGCTTGCTGCACTAGTTACAGTGAAATTCCCATGATCCAAGTTCCACAGACCATCCAAAAAAGTTTCTTCAGATGAGGTTTCTGGTGCAGAAAAGTTGCTATTGAGCATGGAGTACAAGAATTGCTCTTCTGTGGTGTTTTGCTGCATGTTGATCATTTCTTGTCTAGTTTGAGGTGCTGCATAAGGTGCTCTACATGTGTTGTTATCCTCAAGCAAGGCCATGATGCCTTTCATGTCAAAGTTGAACTGTAGCTGTTGTTGTGCCTGATACTGTTGCTGCTGCTGCTGCAGCAACTGTTGCTGCTGAAATTGCTGCTTCCTCAGGACTCTATTCCTTGCCTTTTCAGCTGCATCAGAGGGACTTTTAGCCTTTTTCTTGAAATGAGTCCTCCAATAGTTCTTTATCTCATTGTCAGTTCTCCCTGGAAAACTCCTTGCAATTGTTGACCACCTGAAGTTTTCGGTTTTGTAGTTAGCAATCAAGAACTTAGAAAAAAATGCTGCCATGCAAAAGGGCAAGAGAATGAACATGCATATAAATTTTACCTGTTTCCCCACCTTGCATGCAACTCCAGAATTATACTCTCTTCTTGTGGTGTTATCTGTCCCCTCTTGAGATCAGGCCTCAGATAATTCACCCACCTCAATCTGCAGCTCTTTCCATTTCTTTTCAACCCTGTCGATGAACAAACAACAACAACCCTATCAGATCATAGAACAGTTTTTGCCATGCTGCAGTATAATGTTCAAAATGAAGATATTTAAGGAACACTATGTACAGAAGAAGTTGAAAACACAGTTGGATTGTAACTTATAGAAATGAAATTCAATGAAGAAAGCAGTAAAAGATTATTGTTGATCGAGTGTTGTTAATTACCTGCAAGCCTAGAAACAGAGTTCCATCTTCCTTCACCATGCAGTCTGACATACTCAACAAGCAACCTGTCTTCTTCAGCAGTCCATGGTCCCTTCCTCCATACCTCCTCCTCCATCACACCTCCACCACCTATCTGGCCACCCAAAACTTTCCCCCAATACATGCAATAAGGGTTCCAAGTTTGTTCTTGGAGAAAAATGGTTTCTTACAATTTCTGTGACACTCAATTAGGTCTAATGTTTGATGCATGTTTTGGCTGTGGTGTTTGCTGCATATTTATACCTGAGATGTTTTGCCCAACTGGATTCTATCAGTCAATCAAAGGTCACTTTCTTAACTTCGTATGATGTCTATCCACTTCACTGTTTAAGGTACTACGGGTAACACTTTTCTAAGAACATGTTTCAATAAACAAACCCTAAGGACCAAAGTGACACTGAAAATGTTGCACGCTTGTCCTTCAACTACCAAATGACCAAAATACCATTACACTCTTTCTGTCATTTAGATAATAATTACTACAAAACTTCCTTATTTGTTATTCCATTATAATTCTAACTTTAATTATTTGATAAAAAAAAATAGTACTGCATATATTATAAAATAAAATACTAGATTCTGCTTTCTAATGTTATTTTTTTTTTGTGAAATAAATTACGTAACAAGAGAAATATTTATATCATGAACACTCAAAATTTTCCTTTTCCCCCATGATTTCCAACTATAAGTAATTTATATCAATATAATGATTAAATAAAATATTAAATTCAATTTAGAGATAAACAATAGCACCCCTTATAATCTAGGGAAATTTTTGTGTGACAATGAGAGGTTTAGAAAATAGAAACTTTTGATAAAGTAATAACT